AGGGCCGTTTAAAAAGATACAAAGTTATTAGTATTTTTCCCATTATCCCAGACGCACAGGCTATGACCTGTCCAAATTTTAGAGCTCTAGCTCCATTTTTGCGCAAAAGAGGTTTTAAAGGTCATTTTAAAGCTGACCGTAGAGTGTGACATTTTCCCCTGGTCGTATAGGCACAAACGACCCCTCTACGGAACCGGCTCGACGAGTAGGTTAGACTACTGCAATGGCCTGCTCACAGGTCTGTCCAAACAGGCTGTAAAATAGCTGCAGTACATTCAAAATGCAGCAGCTCGAGTTCTGACTAGAACCAGGAAGTACGACCACATTAGTCCAGTCCTCAGGTCTCTGCACTGGCTTCCTGTGGCTCAGAGAATAGACTTTAAAACAGCTCTGCTTGTGTACAAGTCTCTCCATGGCCTCGCACCAAAATATATTAGTGACATGTTAGTACCATATGAACCAGCCTGGACTCTGAGGAGCACAGGGACTGGACTCCTGTTAGTGCCCAGAGTCAGAACTAAACATGGGGAGGCTGCTTTTCAGATTCATGCTGCTAAAATCTGGAACAGTCTTCCTGAAGATGTGAGACAGGCCTCCTCTCTGACAATGTTTAAAACCAGGTTAAAGACAGTTCTGTTTAGCTGTGCATACAACTGAGGGATTTTATATTTTTACTTTCTTTTTAATGTTCTGTGATTATTTATGATTTTAATGCTATCTTGTTTTGTTCAGCACTTTGACACATGCCAGACCTATTGTACATGTTTTTAGTGGTAGGGGAAACCGGAGTACCCGGAGGAAACCTACGCAGACACAGGAACCGACCGGGATTCGAACCCAGGACCTTCCTGCTGAGAGGCGAGAGTGCTATCCACTCAGCCACCGTGCCGCTCATATAAAATATATAAACTAAATAAAATATATTAATATAATTCTATAATACATAATTTAAATACATCCATCCATCCATTTTCTACCCTTTAATCCATTTCTGGGTCAGGGGGGTGGCAGTCAGAGATGCCACCCAAGTCTCATAGCACCAGCCCCTCACTGACCCTCTGCAGGTGGTGAGTCCACAGGAGGGCGGCTGCTCTCTGAGTGTGAGCATAGCCTTGATCTTTCAGTGGGGGCTTTGGGCAAAGTGGGGTTAAGTGTCTTGCCCAAGGACACAACGACAGCAGTCATCAGTGGGAGTCGGTGGAGAAGGTGCAGAGGTGGGAAATAAATACATATACTGTATATATATTTTCACAACCTCGGAAGAGCAGCAGTGCATAGTGCTCGGCCTTCTTGGAGTCCTTGGGAGGGGTACTGGACGGTGCACCGACCGGGGACTCCGTTATTCTCCTGGGGGACTTCAACGCCCATGTGGGAAGCGCCAGTGACACTTGGAGAGGGGTGATCGGGAAGAACGGCTCCAATCACCCCTCTCCAAGTGTCACTGGCATTTCCCTACATTTTCATTTATGTGTCTTCTTCGAGGGGCGACAGTAGCTCAGTTGGTAGAGCATTGGCCTTTGGGCCTGAAGGTCGTGGGTTTGAGCCCACCATAAGACCTACTTCACGACTCCCACTGATGACTGCTGTCGTTGTGTCCTTGGGCAAGACACTTAACCCTACTTTGCCCAAAGCCCCAACTGAAAGATCTCAGCTCCTGTGGACTCACCACCTGCAGGAGGATCAGTGAGGGGCTGGTGCTCTGTGTACTGGGTGCAGCTCTGACTGCCACCCCCCCCGACCCAGAAATGGATTAAGGGGAAGAAAATGGATGGATGGATGTCTTCTTCGAACAGATGTAGAGTCCACTGGTGGTTTGTTAGTGAAACACAGAAATGATCCGAAAGAGCAACATCGACCACGTTTACATTTGAAATATTCACCCCCTTAGTAACTAACAGATCTAGAGTGTGCCCTCTGCTGTGGGTGGGGCCACTTACGTGCTGAGTGAGATCAAAGGATTCAAGTACAGAACTTAGCTCATTTGCATTTCTGTCATTAACATTATCCACATGAATATTAAAATCACCTGTAATAACCAAACTATCAAAATCTGTGCATACAACTGAAAGCAACTCAGTAAAATTATCAATAAAACTGTGACATGACTGCGGTGGCTTGTATAGGACAATGAAGAGTATTGGAGGAGATTGTTTTTGTTGTATTTTAAAAGACACATATTCATATATATGTAGGTGTGGATGTTATTATATTATATATTGTTGTTTATATATGACTGTATATATATTATTTTACTATTATTATTATTATTATTATTTTTTCTATTCCTTGTCTCAGTTTGTTGGTTTTGTTTGATGTGTTAATATAAAATGAAAAAATAAAGAGTTCAAAAAAAAAAAAAAAGACACATATTCAAATGACGAAAACTTCCCAAGAGACATTCTATAGGAGACAAAATGGTCGCTAAAAATGGCGACCATTTTGCAGCTAAGCTATGTATATATATTATACACTACCATTCAAAAGCCCTCCATTTGCAGCAATTACGACATTGCACCACGACATTTGCAGCTAGAATAGTCATTTACCACATGAGCAATGTAGTGTATTTCTTTAAAGTTAAGACTAGTTTGAAGTTATCAGTTCTTTTCCTTCAAAAATAAGGACATTTTTTATATATATATATAATCTATATATATATAATCTATCTATCTATCTATCTATCTATCTATCTATCTATCTATCTATATATCTATATATATATATATATATATATATATATATATATATATATATATATATATATACATCTATATATGTATATTTTATATATATCTATATATGGTATATTTTATATATACATCTATATATATATATTTTATTTTTATATATATATATATATATATTTCATATACCTACGATCAACACAAAAGGACTTAACTTGCCGACCGCCGACAAGCAATACAACCAGAGCCCGCACACACTACCTGAGTTTTGAGGTCCCCACCCCGACCATGCCCCCCCCCTTCCCGCCATTACCCCATAATGATTCTTTCCGGAGCCAGCACACACAAACTGAGTTTTGAGGTCCCCACCCTGACTCTGCCTACATTCTTTATTTTTACTGCTATACTTTCCATTCTACCACGTCTTACGTGAGCGACTATTTCTAAATTATCTTTGTTAAACAGTATGTATAAAAGTTTAGAGAGTTGGCAGTGTCCTGTGGGTGCGCTCGTTTTTCAAACGGGATGTCCCGGAGTTTTCTTTTATGTTGAATGCGTGACTTTAACTCAGAGGTGTAATCAATGTGGAAATCAAGCGCTCCTCTTCCCCTGGTTCAGTCCGCGCCACAGAGCAGATAGGACGGACGCGGTCAAAGTTGGCTCTGGAGAAATGGTAAGTGAATATATTTACTTGATTTTTACATTGAGGGGGATGACAGACTGAATGTTACGTTAAAAAAGTACGCTTTATATTATTGTAATGGTGGAAATTCACCGCGGGTATTGCAACAAGCTAATTGAACTAGCATTATCTCAGTGAAACCCCGCGCTATGTGCTAATAGGGCTAGTGTCAGACTAATAGGATTACAGGATATACAGACTATTGGGAGGAGTTCAAATTGTGTAAAATAGGTCATAGTAGGGCTGGGCGATTAATCGATTTTAATCATTAATTCGAGTTTTACATTTAAGGCGATTTCTTTTTTTTAAAATTCGATTTTTATTTTCTCCATCGCAGAACTACAGCGCTAACGCGCTAACCGCGGGTCTATGGTGTTGAGCAGTCATTTTGAAGCTAACCTAATGCTAACAGTCTCCCTCTGGCCTGATGCTCGCTCTCACAGTTGGTGCTGTTGCAATAACACTTCAAACGTTCAAGAATCAGACTTTATTTAAATCGCCAGAACACACACACACACGCACACAGGCTCCGGTCGCTATGTTCGTACGCCATGTTCGTACGCCACATCTTTCACGCTCTCTCACGCTCGTTATTCCAAAGCGCACTCCCGTGTCCGTGGCGCGCACACACTCGTGTCCCACTGAGCCGCTGCACTTTGGGGAAAGACACGTCTCACACATTGCTCTCATTGCTCTGATACAAACAACGTGTTCCCCGCTGTCTGTTAGCTACAGTAGCTGCTACAGTAGCTGCTACTGTAGCAGCTACTGTAGCAGCTACTGTAGCTGCTACAGTAGCTGCTACAGTAGCTGCTACAGTAGCTGCTACAGTAGCTGCTACAGTAGCTGCTACAGTAGCTGCTACAGTAGCTGCTACAGTAGCTGTTAGCTACAGTAGCTGCTACAGTAGATGCTACAGTAGCTGTTAGCTACAGTAGCTGCTACAGTAGCTGTTAGCTACAGCATCAGAATGTAAACAGGAAGCTCGCACAATGCGGGAGTCACTGAAGTTAGTATTAGCGCCACCAGCTGGACCGAGCGTTGTACTACAGCACAGTTACTCAGGCACAGTTGAAAGAACAAGCATGAAAACCCGAGGAGGCTTTTGGAAAAGACTGTCTGTTACAACATTTCTATTTTGAGTAATCAGTTTTAAAAATGTGATATTTCATGTAAATAATGCATGTGTTTAATAGGATTGATATATTTGCGATGGGCCTTGTTTGTGTGATTTAAGTTATTTTGAAGGTGCATAGTGTCATTGTAAGTGAAGTTATTATAAAACTGTTAAGCTACATTTTCACTGTTTACAATGGCAGAGCCATCTCGTTTACAAGCATGTTTTAAGGCTTAATTCCTGTTACACTTATGCTCCATGGGGATTTAGATTAAACTGCATAAAGGAAAATCTATTTCTTTGTCAGTTGTAGTTTGTTTTTAAATAGAAAAAAATAAATCGATTAAAATCGAAAATCGGATTTGGTGTGAAAAAATCGGAGATTTTTTTTTTTTGCCATATCGCCCAGCCCTAGGTCATAGTATGCAAATTGGATGGAAAGGTCTCCCTACATAGACTTTGGGCCATCTTTAATATTTCTCAAATTAACATAAAGCCTCTATCTCTTCATTTATACATGTTTGCAGGTGGATTGGAGGATGGTTTGGAAGAAAAGGAGCCGCTGCAGGAGGTCACAGCACGACCAAAAGCTAAAGGTAAACTGTGAAGTTCTTCAATAGAAAAACCTCTTGTTACTTGACCCTCATTAACTGTCTAACTTCTGCTCCTATGTCTAACTTCTGCTCCTATGTCTAACTTCTGCTCCTATGTCTAACTTCTGCTCATATGTCTAACTTCTGCTCATATGTCTAACCTGCTCATATGTCTAACCTGCTCATATGTCTAACCTGCTCATATGTCTAACTTCTGCTCCTATGTCTAACTTCTGCTCATATGTCTAACTTCTGCTCATATGTCTAACCTGCTTCTATGTCTAACTTCTGCTCATATGTCTAACCTGCTCATATGTCTAACTTCTGCTCATATGTCTAACTTGCTCATTTCTATCCTCTGCTCATATGTCTAACCTCTGCTCATATGTCTAACCTCTGCTCATATGTCTAACCTCTGCTCATATGTCTAACCTCTGCTCATATGTCTAACCTGCTCATATGTCTAACCTGCTCCTATGTCTAACCTGCTCCTATGTCTAACCTGCTCATATGTCTAACCTGCTCCTATGTCTAACCTGCTCCTATGTCTAACCTGCTCCTATGTCTAACCTCTGCTCCTATGTCTAACCTCTGCTCATATGTCTAACCTGCTCCTATGTCTAACCTCTGCTCATATGTCTAACCTCTGCTCATATGTCTAACCTGCTCCTATGTCTAACCTCTGCTCCTATGTCTAACCTCTGCTCATATGTCTAACCTGCTCATATGTCTAACCTCTGCTCATATGTCTAACCTCTGCTCATATGTCTAACCTCTGCTCATATGTCTAACCTGCTCATATGTCTAACCTGCTCCTATGTCTAACCTGCTCATATGTCTAACCTGCTCCTATGTCTAACCTGCTCCTATGTCTAACCTGCTCCTATGTCTAACCTCTGCTCCTATGTCTAACCTCTGCTCCTATGTCTAACCTCTGCTCCTATGTCTAACCTCTGCTCCTATGTCTAACCTCTGCTCATATGTCTAACCTCTGCTCCTATGTCTAACCTTTGCTCCTATGTCTAACCTTTGCTCCTATGTCTAACCTTTGCTCCTATGTCTAACCTTTGCTCCTATGTCTAACCTTTGCTCGTATGTCTCAGTTCCAAAAGTCTGAAATTCGTCATTGGCAGTGAATGAGTAAAGGGTCTTAGCTGACTTATATTTTCCTTTTTAATTCCACATTTTCAACAGTCATAAAATAAAACCTTTTCCATTGCTCGCCTTGACAAAAGTGAAATGTTTTATAGACTCATTGTGAACTCCAGACCAGGCTTATAGAAGGCCTAAATAAGATAAGACTTGTAAATTTCTCCTGTGTGAAATTAATAAATTATATCTTATCTTAAATCAACATTAGTTACTGAGCTTGGTTTATGAAGCAACAAATTGTCTGACCTTCTATTTGAACCTGGCTTATTCTCATTGGCATTGTTCATATGTATTTTTTTCTTTTCACAGATGATTAAATGTTTCTCTTATATGTTTTAGGAAAGGTTGTTGTCAAAAAGAGGAAGTGGACTGAGGAAGAAATCCAGGCTGTGGAGAAAACCCTCATGGACTGCATCAGGACCCTAAAGGTTCCCGGGAAAGCCCAGTGTCTGGAGTGTATTAACGCTTCACAGACCGCTCTTAAAGGGAGAACATGGGAGGGAGTGAAGTTCTATGTAAAAAACTGTATCGATGCTCTAAAGAGAGAGTCTTCAAAATGAAAAATTTAAATTGTTTAAATACAGTCATTTTATTTTGTTAAGACATCTGTTCTTTCAGTATCTTTTATTGTTTGAATCATTTTATTTTGTTATTTGAAAAATGCATTCACTTTTGTGTCTGCAGTATTCGTCATGTTAAAAAATAAATGTTTTATTATAAACTTTCATAATCTGGGCTAATAAATTGCACAATTAACCAGTGATTTACTTACAACACAAGTCTACAATATTCTCCTAATCTTTCATGTCAAAGGAATACACCAAAGTAACAAGTAAAATGCATGAAGTTCCTAGGAGGCAAGTTTGAGACAATACAAAAATAATAATAAAAAAAAAATCTTATAGTGACACCTGATGGTGGTTTTTGGTACTACATAATTGTTAGTCCCCATGGGGATAGAAAGTCCAGACAAAAGAAAAAAATGAAGATTTTGGGACTTGAGGTGATATCAGAGGGGCCACGCCCCCCCCTGCAATTCTGTCTTAAAGCCAATTTTTTATGAGTTAAAATGAGCAATTAATTATTGTTTAAAGTGAGGTCCTCACCATGCATGTTCTAGACAACTTAAAAAACTGGTCCCCACCGTGTAATAAAAACACGTATGTGTGTGTGTGTGTGTGTGTGTGTGTGTGTGTGTGTGTGTGTGTGTGTGTGTGTGTGTGTGTGTGTGTGTGTGTGTGTGTGTGTGTGTGTGCACTTGTTTTCAACTCCTGGTGGGTTCCATAACCTGAGATTCCACTCACGTCATGGGGACTGGTTTTACGTGGTGGGGCACATTGTGTCAGCCGCAGGAGTGGCTACGGACCCCAAGAAAATCGCCGCTGTTGCTGAATGGCCCCTCCCGAGCACAGTGTCTGACTTGAGGTCATTCCTGGGATTTGCGAGCTACTATAGGCGGTTTGTAGAGGGTTTTTCCAAACTTGCTGCACCCTTACACAGAGTAGTCGCCCAGCTAGCAGGGAAGAAGAACAGACTTGGGCGGGGGGTTTCTCTACAAGAAGCCTGGACCCCGCAATGTGACTCTAGCTTCCTAGAACTCAAGGCAAGGTTAGTGTCCTCCCCCGTGCTCGCATATGCAAATTTTGACTTGCCCTTTGTTTTAGAGATTGATGCTAGCCATGAGAGACTAGGAGGGGTTTTGTCCCAAGAGCAAGATGGCAGAGCCCAACCCATTGCTTATGCCAGCCGTAGTTTGCTCCCTGCTGAGAGGAACTACAGCTCAATGAAGCTGGAATTTCTAGGAATGAAGTGGGCTATGTCAGAAAAGTTCCGTGAGTATCTCCTGGGCAATAAGTGTGTGGTGTGGACAGATAATAACCCCCTTAGCCATTTAGGGACCTCCAAACTGGGTGCAACTGAGCAGCGCTGGGTGTCGGAACTTTCAGTGTTTGATTACGTAGTGAAATACCGCCCTGGCCGCAATAATCAGAATGCAGACGCTCTGTCCAGGCTACGTCCAGCTGGGGTGATGTCACACCCTCGCCCTGGTACCCAGATTCCAGCAGCTGTAAATGCAGCAGTGAGACCCATACGGGCGGCTACACAAGCTGCTATTGCAGTTTTGCCCGAACGTTCCTCTGATGACCTGTTGTTGTTGCAGCAAGCGGACCCAGTGATTTCTTCCGTAAGTCGTTATCTACAGCAGCAGCGAATGCCGGGCCGAGTTGAGAAGCAAACGATGGGCCCGCCTGCAAGAGAATTGCTCCGTCAGTGGGAGAGATTATGCATTAAAGATGGCTTGTTGTTTCGAAATTATCAGAGGCCAGATGGGGGTGAGGAAGTGGGTCAAATCGTGCTGCCGGAATGCCTATGGAGAGAGGTTTTTGAGCACCTACATACTCACCATGGACATCAGGGTATAGAACGCACCACAGAGCTCATACGACAGCGCTGCTACTGGCCCCATATGAGGGCAGTCATCCGCGATTGTTGTAAATGTTGCGAGCGTTGCTCTCTGGCTAAAAGGACTGCACCCCAGGTACGAGCCCCCATGGGCCACCTCATGGCCTCAAAACCTAATGAGATTCTTGCAATGGACTTTTCTTTGTTGGAGCCTGCCACAGATGGCAGAGAGCAAGTGTTAGTAATGACTGATGTTTTCTCAAAGTTTACACAGGTCGTGCCCACCCGGGATCAAAGAGCTTCCACCGTTGCGGAGGTGCTGATAAGAGACTGGTTCTACAGATATGGGGTCCCTGCAAGGATACACTCCGATCAGGGTCGTAGTTTCGAGAGCGCCGTCATCTACCAGCTTTGTGACCTGTATGGCGCCAAAAAGTCTCGGACGACGCCCTATCATCCCCAAGGTAACGGCCAGTGTGAGCGGTTTAACAGAACACTGCACGACCTTCTTCGCACGCTTTCAGTAGACCAAAAGCACCACTGGCCTCAGTACCTACCTCAACTTGTATTTAGTTACAACACAACGCCCCACCAATCAACTGGACATTCCCCGCACCTTCTCATGTTCGGCAGAGAACCGGTGCTGCCAGTGGATTTTGTGTTAGGGCGTGTGACAGAGCCCACATTTGGTGAGACCAGCCATTGGATACGGGAGCACCAACGCCGACTTCAGGTGGTCGCAGAGAGCGCCAGGGAACACATGAGGTTGGCGGCAATGAGGAGAAAGGAAAGGGCTGATGTACAGGCAGAAGAACAATTATTACCAGTCGGACAGTATGTGTACTTGCGAAACCATTCACATCGGGGGCGGACCAAGATGCAGGACGCATGGTCACCTGAGGTTTTTGTAGTGGTGGTACCTCCAGAGCCAGGGGGGGCAGTGTATACAGTTGCTCCCAAAGGAAGGCTAGCGGAGGTACAAAATGTTCATCGCAATATGATAAAACCCCGACCTTCCCAGGTGTCTTCTCCCCCCGAAGCTAGGGCTTCCTGGAGACCTCGCAGTCCAGAGAGGAACGCCGGTGGCCTTTGGTTGGTAGAGGCACCAGGCAGGGACCAAACTATAGTACCACTTGTCCCTCCCCAGTTTCAGACTGGGACAGTCCGCGAAAACCCTGTTGACACCATCCCAAACCAACAAGCCCCTCCTCCCCTAAGAAGGACCAAACGGACTACAGCTGGGCAGCACCCAAATCCACACCACCTACCAGTGGAGTTGAGGGGTGGGGCTACAGCATCTCTCATGCAGGGGTCCAGCAGCACATATTAGATTGTCGGGGCGCCAATCTAAAGAACCCCGGGGTGGAATGTAACCGTTGGTTGTTTGTCCCAATTGGGCCACCGTATTACGTAATTCGTAGCCGGCAACCCGCACTTCCGCAGTCCTCAGTTATTTCCTAGCATATTTAAGCAGGCTAGACGCGATGCACGGGTAGGCTGCCCTCCCGATCACCAACTTTATCCGCTCCGGTCCCGTTTCTCTCACAGCTAGAAGCTGTAGGCCGGGTAGGTTGTTGTTTGTTTGTGTTCGCATTCTAGCTGGTAAATGTCATTCTGTTTGTGTTTTTAGACGCCATCAAGTGACCCCATTAACCTGTCCGGGGTGCGTCAGCCTGGGAGGGCATCTTTTTCTGCCAGCTCAGACTGTTTTAAGCCCTAGGTATTTAGACTTATTTTATAAGGGTTAAATTGGAGATCGCATGTAGATATTAATTTGTTTGTTTCTTTTCTAGAGTCAGCAGGCTACATGTCGGTTTTATTTGGGTCTAATGATAGGGTTATTTAGTCAGGTACCGCCGGGACGAGTCTGTACCCCTTACATTTGATTTTGAGTTGATTCTCTCTTTATTTTGGGTATTTACTAAGACCGGTGTACGGTACGATTTGACACTGTTCTCCCTGTGCTCCAGGACTGGTTCGAGCGTGGGTGCCTGCCTGGTGGAGGTTTGGTGATAGAGTCTCACACTGCTGCAATCATCACTCCCCTCGTGTGCTGTGGTATTTTTCGCACTCACCCTCACTGCATGTTTTAGATATCCTAGATTTGGTTTAGTGTGTGTGTGTGTGTGTGTGTGTGTGTGTGTGTGTGTGTGTGTGTGTGTGTGTGTGTGTGTGTGTGTGTGTGTGTGTGTGTGTGTGTGTGTGTGTGTGTGTGTGTGTGTGTGTGTGTGTGTGTGTGTGTGTGTGTGTGTGTGTGTGTGTGTGTGTGTGTGTGTGTGTGTGTGTGCACTTGTTTTCAACTCCTGGTGGGTTCCATAACCTGAGATTCCACTCACGTCATGGGGACTGGTTTTACGTGGTGGGGCCCGAACACCGGACCCCACTGGTCCAAGCTTAATAATCAATGGGTAATGCTTTTCTAACGGTCCTTATGCAGTCTCTGTAAAAATATGGAAAGGACCCCTGGAGGTTTACTTTCCTGAAAAAAGTGTGTTATGTGTCGGAACCCTGGTGGTGGGTTGCGGGATATCAAGGAGGGGCACACTGGGGCAATTTCAGTCCAGCAGGCTGGAGCCAATCATGGAGCAGCACAACAGAGGAAATCAGGTGTCAGGCTAGAAAAAGGTGCAAGTGTGTGGTTCATTAGGCTGCAAGAAATCATGGAGGAGCACACTGAAGCGCACGCTTACAAACCACTGGTAAGTGCTGACTACAAGTCATGACTTCAAATTGTTATATAGAATGATTACAAATTATTTGTTGTTTGTGCAGCTTAGTCAAGAGTCCCTAATTGATGAAGTCGACTCAGATTCTGACGATTTAACTGTCAAGAAGAAACCTGTAAAAAAGTATGGAAAAAGACAAATCAAAAACACTTTTCTTCAAGACTCGGAAAGTGACGAACCAAAGGCAAATAAGATTGTTATCATGCAGCTGCAAAATAAGAAAAATGGGGGGCGAGTATACAGCAAGAGACACTTCTGCCTCTACTGTTCAATGTCCTGCCACAAAATGTCCCGTCATTTGACTAGAAAACATGGAAATGAAAGTGACGTAGCCAGAGCATTGGCTCTACCTGTGAAATCTAAAGCACGTAAACTTCAGTTTGATTTGATCAGGAATAGTGGAAACCGTGAGCACAATTTTGAGGTTTTAAAGGCCGGCATTGGAACTTTAGTCCCAGCTAAACAGCCAAATTGCCCAGTTAAATCCAGTGAGTTTTTGCACTGTATAGACTGTGGGGCATTGCTTAAGCGAAAGTCGCTGTGGAGGCATGTGGCCAGGTGCCGGCTTTCACAGAAAGATGCCCAGGCTAAACCAGGTAGAAGTAGGGTCCAGTCCCTCTGCTCCCTAGCCCAGCCTGTACCGGAGGGCATCAGCAAAAAGCTGTGGTCTTTAATTTCGGCAATGCATCAGGATGAGGTCACGGGTGTTGTCAAAGCAGAAAAGGGGATTCTGAGACTCGGAGAGCACCTGTACTTAAAACACGGGCATGATAAGACAAAGCATGATTACATTAGGCAGAAAATGAGAGAAGTCGGTAGGTTAATTAACGAAGCAAAAACCGCAGGGAAACTGAAAACAATTAAGGATTTCTTTATTCCTTCCAACTTTAACCATGTGATTGATGCAGTCAGGTCTGTGGCTGGATATGATGAGGAAACAAATCAATACAAGACTCCATCCTTGGCCCTCAAACTCGGCCATAGCCTCAGAAAGCTAGCAGATATTCTTGAATGTGACTCAAAAATGGAGCATTGTGTTGATGAACTATTTATTAAAAACCTCCAACGAAGCCGGCTGCTTTTTGAGAAGAGGTGGGACGTCTGTGTTTCTTCTGCTGCCCTACAGACCCTCCGGCAAGCCAAGTGGAACACTCCGGACCTGCTCCCTCTGACTGAGGACGTTAGAGCCATGCATGCACATATTGAGGTATGTCGACCTGAATATGTGCAAACCCTAATAAGTGAGCCAACGTCTAAGCATTGGTCTAAACTGGCAGTTTTGACTCTTTGTGAGGTCATCATTTTCAATCGAAGAAGGGAAGGTGAGGTTTCAAAGATGCCACTGACAGCCTTTACCTTAAGAAGTAAGACTGGGATCCATTCTGACATTGCTCTGGGACTGTCCCAACTTGAGAAAAAGCTGTGTCAGCATTTTCAACGCATTGAAATTAAAGGGAAAAGAAGTCGGAAAGTGCCGGTTCTTTTGACTCCTGAAATGATTGCTTCGATGGAGGTGCTGGTGGAGAACAGAAGGGCCTGTTCCATCTCTGACCATAACCCATACTTCTTTTCCCGCCCGGGCGCAGACACCCACATCAGGGGATCAGACTCCCTACGCCAGGTAGCCAAAGAATGTGGTGCGGTGCATCCAGAGATGCTATCCTCAACCAAACTTAGAAAGCACATAGCTACTATGTCTACAGTTCTCAATATGAAAGAGAATGAGATGGACATACTTGCCAACTTCCTCGGCCATGACATTCGCATCCACAGGCAATATTACAGACTACCAGAGGGGACACTGGAGCTGGCCAAAATCAGCAAAGTGTTGATGGCCATGGAGCAGGGAAGAGTGACGGAATTCGAAGGAAAGAGCCTCGACCAGATACAAATTGAGCCTGAAGGTAATTCTTGATATTATTAAAATATGTATGATTTTTTTCCCCTAAAGGCCACTTGTATTTTTATTTTCTGTGCGACAGGGAGAGCAGTAGAGATCCTCTCACAAACGGACGGGCTAAAAGAAACTTCAAGCGGAGAACCTTCAACCATTCATCCAGATGCACCCCATGGTAGTGGCAGTGCCCCTTCTGGTAAGTGTACCAGGTGGGGGATTACAGCCAGGCTGCTTGGTCCTCACCCTGGGAGTGTATATTGCTAATATATTTTTATTTCTCTCCCTAGAACGTGTAAGAAAGCCATGGTCTGCATCTGAGGTGAAGGCTGTGGAGAAGACCATGACACCTTTCATACAGACTGGAAAGGTCCCTGGGAAGTCTCACTGCCTGGCCTGCATTAATGCCTCACCAGATGACCTTAGACATCGGACATGGAGTGGCATTAAATTCTATGTCAAAAATAGAATCACTGCAATTCGAAAACAAAATCTAAAATAAAATTCCTTTAAAATAGTTGTTTGGTTTCTATTGACTGTTTTGTATTACTTAAAGTCTTGGTAAAAAAAGATTATGTCTATGGGTCCCATTCTGAACGGCCCTGTCAAAGGGACCCACCAGGTAACAAAAACGTGTATGTGTGTGTGTGTGTGTGTGTGTGTGTGTGTGTGTGTGTGTGTGTGTGTGTGTGTGTGTGTGTACTCTGTTCCATTTACATATTTGCCCTCGGACCGCGTGCACCCGCGGCCGTCTAGTCTTGGCCACTCTTAAAAGCATTTGTTCAAGTTTACCACTGCTATTTATTAGAACTAGCATTTTAACATAGCCCCCAAAAAACATAACCTTTTCATACATTTCTGTTAACGTGTTTTTTTCCCTTTTAGTAAATGAAAAATAAATCTTTCACAACGGTTATGGTATGTGTCTCTGTTTGACTATTCACTGCACCCTTACCTGTGTACAATAAATCACTGCTCAATTAGGCTCTCCCTCGGTTACACTCGGATACAAACAAACCGTCAGCTGTTCGAAGAGGCGGTTTAAGTGAATGGTGCATAATGCTCAGCTTTGTTTTCGGCTGTAATCATCACAGTTTACGCGACACATGCTCATTCTTTAGGTTTCCCAAAGACCAACTGAAGCTGTGGGAAAAGCTATGCAGTTCTGATAAAATATTTTGTCTGATTTCAGAGACAGTTAACTTGAACATGTATTCAAGCTAACTTGTAGCTAATGCTAACCTGTAGTGCGCGGCCAAGCCTTTAATTGTGGCTTGTATTTTAAGATAAGAAACTTTATTGATGTCACACAGGATAAATATTGTCTCTCAAATATTTATCTATTTGAGAGATAAAGGAGGAACATATTAACACGTATTAAATAACATTTAACAAATGTTCAAATATAACAGAAAACGGACAATCATTCGTATTAAATGAATAGGTAACCCAACTACATCATATTATTTTTGACAGCACAGCAAAAAGGAAAAAGGCCCAATGTGAAGCTGCAGTGAGTGTGAAGTGGAGATGGAGCTGATGAACAGATAGAAAACTGATCATTCATAAACATTGGCTTATAACCAAAGATAGCTGTAAGGGACAACATCAATTTATTTGCATAGGAATAGTGTTTCTATATTTTCTTTCTGATGCGTGATAGTGGATTAAAATACAATGAGTTTGAACCATAGACTGTATGTTTGAACACGGCCCTGTGCCTTTCTCATCTCCCCGTCATATGGAAACGTCAGCACATGGCCAGTTCACAGCTAAATCCGACCGCTCACTCAGTTTTTCTGTCCCAGAGACGAAATGTGTCCAAAATAACACAGGAAAGTCCATTAACGAGGAAGAAGTCGGCGATCTCCATGTCACTCCCGTATTCGTCCCAGAAACCGGATTTGTCCGGAAGTTCAGTTTGCGCATGTCAAAAAGTTTAATATGCCCTTAAGTGGTGACTGGTTAAGTTTAGGCGTCTGATTAAGATGGTTAAGTTTAGGGTTAAGGCTGGGTTGGGGTTATTTTATGGGAATGGCTGGTTAAGTTTAGGCATGAATCATGGATCTATTATATTAACTGGATAGGGTATTACTAGCT